CCCCCTCCACACACATATACATGCCCATGGCAGTGATCACACCCTTGAAATATTTATCTTCCTTCTTCCCCTACCCGCCCCTGTCCACTCCCTTTAACTGTCGTTTAGTCAAGCTTAAATATTTAATTCTGCTCTTTGTTTTTTCCCCTTCTACTCAAAGCTAGTTCCTCCAGTTCATTAATCATCACCAACCCCCTCTTCTCTGAAATGGCCTCTCTCTTGTTTGACAGCCTCTTTCTAGGGAGACCCTCATAACCTCATGTTTTTAATCCTTGGGGTTCAGCCTCAAATTCTGGGTCACAGGTATGACTCATGTCTCTGGGGACAAGCAGCACTAAGGCTGTGGTGTCCAGATATTAATGCTGAACTTTGCTGCCTGCAGAACCTAAGGGAGATTGGGAATAGGACCAGTTTTAGACTCATCCATTTTTTTCCTGCTAGTTCCTGAGCAGGTGCATGCGAGACAAGTCCTCTTCCTTACTATTTCTTGTTGGAAAAGGAAGCACGTTGGTCTCTGTGCTTATTTTCTTGGGTGTGCATCTTTCTTTTTAAACTTCTGTGCCCTTGCAGGTGTAGGACTTTTGGAAGATGCCTTTCTTTGTCCCAGTACGGTGTAAGATTATCTTTCCTGATGGTTATTTATTATTTTATTTATTACACTTATGTACAGCCACCCTGGGGAGAATTGCAACCCTCAAGCAATATAACCGATTGCAAGGAGAAACACAGGACATGCTATTTAAAGACCAAGCCGTTTCTAGGATCCTTTCCTCGTGGCAATTGGTGGTCCGTGGGGTGGGTGATGGGAACAGATTTCTTTAATGGTAACTGCCTGCCTCCTCCTCTCTTCCATAACAATCCAACCAAAGCCTCTGACCCGCGATATATAAACAACGAAATAAAATAAAATCCCTCCTGTTTAAAAGCAGATAAATGAAAAACAATTCAAGTTCTAAATGTTTTGCGTGCCTGTTTTGTGTGTGTGTTTAATGGGCCTGGGGGAAAGATGAATGAGAACTACTTTCTTTAGCAGCCTTTGCAATGTGATTCTTTTGGGGAGGGGGAGTTATAACATCCAGGAGCCTCAGCATTCTAGATTGAATGGATTCCACGCCCAAAGAGACAATGGGGCATCTTCTGCCGTTGGCCGTGGTTAGAGCTGTACAGAGTTCTAATTTTGCAGAAGTCTGGCAGGTCCACAGGTTATGCACATCTGAAGTAAGCAATTTTACTCAGGGCCACAGGTTAAAGTTGCACGGCTCCAGAGAGTGGTTAGTGCACCCTGCAAGGAAAAGTATTAGGCCTTGGGTTGGCATTTGTCTCGAAAGCAGTGAACCTTTTTCCCCCTGGAGCGTGTCCCATCTTCCCCTCGTCCTCCTTTTCTTGACCTTGAAAAAGCTCTGCCATTCTCAGTTACGGTTTGCGATGCGCCTGTTGTTGGCACATGAACTGTCAAGCCTACTTTGCTTGCCTAAGCATGTCTCCTGGCTTGGCTCCCCACCTCCGATGGCGGAGGGCTTAATGTAGTGAATCATTTAAGATCTCATTCCAGCGTTCATTGTCTGTTTGGCTTCCTGCTCTCTTGGAACCCTTGAATCAGCCTGTCAGAGTGAATTAAGAATAAACGCCGGGGCTGCCTCCTTGGCGTGTGTTACTTGAGGGCTAAAGCACTTGTTGAAATTGGATTCTGCTCTGGGTGAGCAGGTCCTGCCTACCTCTCCTTTGGTTTAGGTTTCATCAAACCTGGAATGATAAAAACAAGGAGATGAGTCCTGTGGAGTATTTAGAAGATGCATTTAATATGGTTTTCTTGTGTGTTTTGATTGAGAGGAGGGCGAATCTTGTGCAAAAATTACCTCTTTACCTGTGATTCAAGTGTATGAATCCACTTCTTTCTCCATCCGAGAGACTTTTGGTTTGCAATCTGGAAATCAAGGCTCTTGCAGGAAGTGGTGTGGATTTTTAAAAGCCTCTCCTTCCTCCCAGTGTTCTGCAACTGATAGAGTCTCAAGACCATTCTCCGGTGCTCAGTATATAGCCAGAATAATAAGGATTATGGAAATAAACTTGAGATGCAATCATGCCGAGGCAGAGGTCCATAGCACCCTCAGCTCAGCAAAGAACCCAGTGTGGTGTTACAGCCCTTGGAGTGCTGAGTGGTGACATGCTCAGCTGTGGACCTGTGTGTGTGTGTGTGTGTGTGTATCTGTGTGTATGACTTTGGGCCATACAGAATCTCAGCCTGGCTCTCCTTCCAGGTAGTTGTGAAGATGAAGTACAAAGTGGGGGAAGAACAGATGCTGTGGTTTTTTTTCTTTCACCTCCTTGGAGGAAGGAGAGGCAGGTAGGAGAATAAAAACCCATTTCACACTGAATCTGGGCACACAGAACCACTTCCAAATTTGAAAGCAGCAAAACCCCCACTCAGCCACGGGAAGAAAAGATTGTATTTCTGTGGAAGGAGGTCTAGGGAGGCGTTTTGGGTGGCAGGGGAACGAGACCCTGGGCGTGCACTGGTCCCTCTTTCTTTCTTCGTCCTCTGGAGCCCCAGCTCTTTCCTCCCCATCAAAAGCGTTGTTGTCATGGCTTGTTTTTGTCATGCACCGCTTGATGCAGGAGGGGAGGGCCAAGCAAGAGGCTTGAACCATTAATGTGTTTCCTAAGTATAAATTAGGCTTAATTGGCCAATTATTGAAATAACTTCTTAATTTGCAGAAGATGTTGGAAAACAGCTTCCCAGGGTGTTTTCTGCTTGCTGTAGCAAAACCCAGCCTGGAGGCTTTGTGGCACTATTCTGGCTCCTTTGCTTTGATCCTTGCCCTCTCCTGCCAACTGCTCCCCTTTGGCTCTGCAGGATGTTTCTTGCTGGCACTTCTCCAGTGCCATATATTCTGGGACTTCAAAGCACTCGCTCGGTATGAATTTACTGCAGGGCACGGCAGGGTAGCCAAGCCAACAGAAAGAGAAATGGCCACTTCGGTGTCCACAGAGAGCTTTCTCTTATTCCAGGTAGCACCTTCCTGGGCTTGAGTCTGGGCAACTGTGCCCCAAAGCCTGGCCAACTCGAATTTCCCCACCTTCTTCCTTGGAAAGTTCTGCTACAGAAACAACTTGGCAATGGCCAGAGAGGCTGAAGTTGCAGGTTTGGGCAATAAGCTTGTGGACACTTATCCCTTAGCACTGGCAGCGACTTCCTTTTTGATTTCGTTGATGAAGCAGTTGGAAGAAGACATTGTTGGAAAGACTTTGCCTTGGCACTGTTTCCCTGATTAAATAAACCTGTCAATTAATCTGTGAACTTTTTGCTGATTTATGAAAATATATTCAATCGGCTACCTTTAATTCCGATTAATACAGAGCTGGGATTAAACATCTGGCCGTGATTTTTGTGTAGAAGGCAATCTCCAGCTCCTCTTAAAAGTGCCGCTAGTTGGGACGCAACAACACAGACCTGCATTTCCCAGCCTTGGCAGCGTCCAAATGGGTGGACTGCAACTCCCAGAATCCCCCAGTTTGCATGGCCATGGCTGAGAATTGGAGTCAGTCCACACAGCTGGAAGTTTCCATTATTAGGAAATCCTGTTCCAGGGCTACAAAGTCCTGGGTGCCCTTTGGACAGGCGCCCTCTCTATCAGGCCCACCTACCCCACAGGATTGTTTTTGTGGAGAATAACTGGATGAGGGTGTGCTATGTATGTTGCCTTGAGGTCTTGGAGGAAAGTGAGATATAAATCTAACCAAGAAACCAAGTTTAGAGGGGGTCTCTACTGCTTCTCTGCAGTCGGACCATTTTTCATGATTTCCTGACGTCTAGTCCGGCTGGATCATTCAGACGTTGTTGGTAGGACAAGGTTACTTGTTATCTTTGATGTGTAGCAGCCAAGAGGGCTAGAAACTCAGAATCGGTTTTTAAATGACAAGCAGACCTGCCATCCTCTCGCTCTTTGGCCCTTTCAGAGCCCAGTCCTTTACACAGTGTAGTTGCACACGTTTTAGTGTTCATTCCACGGGAAGGAGAGCGCATCCTGCTCTCAGCAATCTGGAAAGAACAGCACTTGAGTGAGAGGCTCACAGAGAGAAAGTGAGCACGTTGGAGCCCAGCATGTGACAAATGTCCTGAATCTTAAAGCTCCCTTCTCATGCTGAAAGACCCACATTTGCTCCACTGGCATCCAGGACCAAATATTTTGAAGTACTCTGCGTGTATGTGAGCACATCCACATTGCTTCTGTCTTGGCATACCTTCTTTTCCCCTTTCTGCCATATCCTATTGCTTCCCTACTTAGCCATCGTTATCCTGAGATCTCTGTGTGCACCAGCTTCAAAATATATAAACGTGCACCCACACCTGCATGGACGTTTCCTCGAGATAAATATTGTGGGTGGATTTAACTGCTGCAGCCTCTCTTTTGCTGCTGTGCGTACAACCACATTTTGGTGCAGTGCCTTCTCTCCTTGCATTAATTATGCATCCCTCATGGGCTGGAGCCATGTGTATACATGTGTGAGAGAGAAATTTATGGCAGTCCCTTTCTTTTTTCTTAAATAAGGGAAAATTAACTGCATGACAGAAAATTTAGGGCAATAGATTCTAGAGTTATGGAAGGAAGCAATGCATAAAGGAAGGGACCAGGAACAAGAAGTATCTGGGGGTATGGGTTCAGAAAGAGAACAAACCTAAGCCAGAATGCATGGAAGAGACCATACCTGAGGTCCAGGACAACTACCTTGCATGCAGTGTGGCCAAGATTTGCTGTGTATTTTGAGCAAACTCATTCTCAGAGGATGGATCCTACTTTATGTAGCCAGAAAAGCCATCTACTGTTTATGTAAAAGAAGGAGGATTTGAAGGTTCAGGAGCATCTCTTCCTTGCAGATATGTGGACTGGAGCTGTCTGGGTTTACAGATGGGCTCAGTGTCTGAGCTCACGGCTTGCATGCTTACAACAGCCCCATTCTGGCTTCCTCTCTGATCTTAATACCTCTTGTCTCTGGGTTAGTTTTCAGGCTGACCGACCTGCGCTGAACGTGGTTGTGTTCCCTCTCCTGCATGAAGATCTAACCGAGGTCATACGAGATGTCCCCATGATGCACCTGGATGAGATCACCTTGTTCAAAAGCCGAGTGGCTGAGGAGCCACCAAACTTGTGGTGGTGATGGGCAGAGCAACCAGATTAGGACCCAGCAGTGGGCAAGCTTGCTTCTCCTTGGCTGAGAGTCGCTGCTTTTTGAGTCTCGTGGCCATTGTTGGAATGCTGTTCAATTTTGGTGCTGTTCCAAGGATCCCATTTGGGCAAAATTTGCCCTTGAAAAAAATGAATATGTCTATCGCCATCACCACCACCACCACCATCTTTTTAAAAAAAAAAATCTAGCCCATCCTTGTCCCTGCAGAACACGGGAATGGATGGCAACTAGAAATTGGAACTTCTGGTTCAGTGTTACTTCCTTGCTATTTAATGTCTGAATTCTTGTTTAACTTGAGGTGTGATTAAAGGTAAGAGGAATTTCCTTTGAAAGAGCGTACCCTTCCCCTCCTGTTCCGAGTCGCATCCGTCCCTTGTTTGTGGAAGCCGCCTGCTTTTTCTTTTTTACTTTCTTGTGCTTCCGGGTTATCCTTTGCTTCACTTTTTAAGGCACTCCAGAAATGGCTGCAAAGGCAAAGACGTGTCTAAACTGCCTTGCAGTCTGGGGATCCAGGTGAATTTGGAATTCTGTAGCCAACTCTTACCTCCGGTCGCATAGCTGAGGCATGCTAACGTGACACGTGCACCCTTTCTTCCTCAGCTTTCTTGGAGGTCCAGAGTCATTTCCTCTTTCCTGAAAACGCTTCGAATGTCAAAAAAGCATTTAGGAGCAGCGACAGAGTTCCGATGCAGTGTTAATGTTGTCGAGGTCAGAATGTGTGGAAGGAAGCCCTCCCATGAACATTAAATGCACAGAGGGGTGGCTTAGATTTCTCTTATTGTTCCGAGCACTGCCTCTTCTTCCCAGACCAGCTATTTTTTGATTTTAGCAGGGATTCTTTTTGCCTAAATCCCACCTTTAGAGCAGTCGCTGTCCTAAAAATCAAGAATGTAATCTTACAGAGCAGCACCTGTCCATCACTGAGGGATTCAGCATAGTTAGGTTGCACAAGAAGATTGTGGAACCTGGCCAGCACGTCTCCTATAGTCCTCCTCTAGATGACATTCAGGTACTTAAAAGACAAATGCCCCTTGTAAAGAGTGAACACCCATCCCCTCTCTTTTTTATCCCCTGAAATCAGACGTCCTTTTGAAGGGAGCTTTCTCAAAGCAGGCTGTCTCTGTGGTGCTAGAGATACTGTCTTGGATCGACCCTTTCGTTTCTAGTCCTTGTCAAAATGCCACTGTTGCCCAGCGTGTCTTTGAGGGACAGGTAAGGTTCAGCGGTGGCCACAGGGCTAACTTGGAGCCAGCTGCTTCCCTCCAAGAATGCCCTTTTGCCCTTCCTGGCCTCGGGCCCTCTCGCTTTTGCTGGATTTTAGAGGATCTTTTGTTTGGGGTTTCCCTTTGGGAGATGGTGCCCGTTCTGCAGGAGGACAAAACAGCCTTGCTGGACAGTTGTCCTGGGTGTCACGTAGGCAGGCTGGAGAGGACATCTAAGAAACGCGTTTGCTTTTCCAAAGAATGGCGCGATGTCAAGGCTGGGAGTGCCAGAGCACCCCTCTCCCTTCCTGTTTTTTTCAACCCCTCATGACTCGCTTCGGCTGCTCTGTGCTCGGCATCAGCAGCCAGCTTGGGTATCTGTAACAGTGTGTGTGTGTGCGCGCGCGCATTCAAATGTGACACTGATCTCAGTGTTAAGTGGATTAACAGTGGATTTACCTATCAAGATGGTATATAAACACTTCTGTACACATTTTTGCTATCCTATTCTTTTTTGAAAAACGACTGTGCATGTGCGCGTGTGTGTGCTTTCATGGCCAGTGTGTGTACAGGAATATGCCTTCTGTTGAATGAAGCCAGGGGACCGGGTAGCTTGCTATAGGTTGTTGTCCTGAATGATTCTTTGGCAAGACTGTTTTCATCAACCCCATACTTTACACCTTTCCTTTTGGGATGCGCAAGGTAAGAACTCACCATCTTCTGTGCTCCAAACGTTCTCTGCTTGGGAACGCCGCAAGAGTTGGCAATTAGCTTTGAACCGTACCACCTGTCTCCCCTAGATATTTTGGCCTACAACTTCCACCCTCCCGTAGCGTGCGCACAGGGGGGAAGTCACAGTCCTAAGGAAGATCCAAAGAGACATCACTCTCTCCTCCCCCCCACCCGCCCCAGCCTTGCTGTGTGAGCACCTCTGTCACAAGTCATCTTAATGCAAGGGAGTGTTTTGGCGACTGATGCTCTCGAGGCAGGATTCAGCAGATGTTAATAATGTGCTTATTTTCTCTAAGTGCCGTTTTGGCATCGGTGTTAATTACAATTTATATTCGGCAACATTTACTCTGGGAAAAGAACCCACCCTAATGGTCCCCAATTGATGGGGTGAGAGTTGTTAAGCACGATGCCATATGTTCGGAGTGCTGAGAAGGGAATGGGAATGCCAGGCAGAGTTAGAAGCAAGATGCCAGCGTTCTCTTGCTCTTTTTGGGGGGGGGGGGAGGAAAGAGGCATTCAGAGGTGGCATGCACATTCCTTTCCTCTTTCATTCCTGGCTTTGGCTTGGCTCCGAAACCATATTTCCTCATTATTTTCCTACTCCTGTGTCCCCAGCTGGCTCACTTTTGGGGGCGAGAGAGGGCAGGTGGAGGAATGGCTTTGATGCCCCACTAAGCCTGCCCAAAGGATTGGAAGACCCTCAGGTTGCCCCTTATTCTGTCTGAGCCTGTCAGTTTTTCCCAGAGTGCCCAAGGGAAATGGTGGAATTTGTCACCAGTAGTTGCAGGCGATCTGGATGGTTGTAAAAGATGACCGCTCTGGTTCACGAAGGAGGAGGAAGCGATTAATACCGATGGCTGTTTATGACCTCCTGAATCATAGGCACCAGGCTTTCCACAGCGGAGGATGAGAGGTTATAGGGGGGTCTTTTGCCTCCAGTCCAGGGTTGGGAGCTTAACAAATGCACCCACTTGGCAGCTATGAACTACAGAACGTGGACTAGCCTCAGGTTCTGATGACCATCTGTCCCAACTCAACCAGTCTGAAGCCTGAATAGAATGGCTCCTGCATTCCAGGATGTCAGGGTGGCCAGATCTTGTGCCCAGATCTGGAACAGTTGAGCACTGTGGTCCAAGGTCCCTGCTAGTATTTGGTGGAACAAGGAAAAGCCTTCGGTGGGGTAAGAAGCAGATGCCACTCTGCTGAATCACGTATGGGCTGTGACATCGACAGCCCAGCTGTCGAACCTTCAGGGGTCCTCCAATCCACCAATCAAGCGCAGCATGAGCAACATCTGCCCTCAAACGCATTCTCAGAGCTCCAGAAACCAAGACCCTGTCAAGTTTCCCATCTTGACTTCTCCCATTTCATGCTGCTGCCTCTTAACTAACAAGGCTTTCTGCAACCCAGTAGCTTCCTCGTGTATTTGGGATTTCTGAGGAACGTCAGAATGGGAAGGCTAGTGGGAACACACTTCAACCAGGCTTCTGTTCCTCTGTGGTGTTCAGTAAAGCCAGTGCTGCTCATGTGGTTTAGCATCATCTGATCATGTATTCTGTGGATTTTGATTTGCATCTCAGTTGCAAAAATAAATATACACTCAGTTGGTTCTCCCATCCCTCATCCCTGTGTATTGATATTACATATTTTGCAACCAGTTTTGAACACTGCTGATTGTGGGAAATGAATATATAAGGTCAGTTATCCAATGATCATTTCTGAGCATTTTGACATGAAAGGATTCTGGTCACCCACGCTGCTTGAGCAGAATTGTGATGGCAACCAGCAAGTGGCCCGAACCCCTTTAAAGCACTTTCTTACATTTGCCCTGATCTCTGTCTGCCAGGCAGATCACCACATACAAATCACTTGGCCCCAGGTTTCCCCCAAAAAGAAGTATTGTAAAATGAGTGAATAACTGGAAGACTGTCCTGCCTGCCCATAAGGACCAATTCAGCCACCTTCTTTGAGGCACCCTTTTCTCTGACAGCAAGCAGTTAGGAAAGTCAGATTTCTTGCAAAGAGCTTTTGAAATTTGAAGAACGGAGAACTTAATTGCCAGGGAGCCTATCCCTGAAGAAATGCAACCCAGTAAGTTTAAATGCACAGATCTAGGTATTCAGCAAAACTTTATCTCCTCTCTGTTTTTACTTAATCTAACCCTTTTGGCCAGTGATGCAAAGTGGCCAAGGAAACATGAGCAAGTCTGCTGCAAAAATGGTACCTTGCTTGCGACCAAGCTGTGGGGACTCCAAGAGGTCACCTGACTGATTCATTGAGTGACATTAAAAGCCAGGGCCACCTGGGCCTCCGTCTTTTCACCCTTCCTAGAAGACTCAAAGGATCCATCTGCCACATATCTCTCAGAAAGGCCACTGGCAGAAGAAAATGGTCATGTTTGAAGCTGGACGTCACACATACTGTTCTCAAGACTTGATTTGCTGTTAGAGTGACCCTGTTACCTCTTCCTATATTTGCTTATCCAGCAATCCTCTGCTGCAAACGTGGGGGGAGAAAAATGGCAACCATTTATTAACAGCTGAACACTGAGTTGTACCTCTTCCAGCACATCAAATAGTACCAGTTGGATGACTTGAATGGTCTACAAACCACAAGGGCTAATGAACCCATCTGTTGCCTAGTCTCCAGGGCATCAGCTGGTTTTCCACCCCTGCTTGGAGATGTCAAGGGCTGAACCTGAGACCACCTGCATATAAAGCAGCTTCTAGAGCATTTTGGAATCCCAATAAGAACCTCCTTGGATTTTCTGAATCTGCATCCACCATGCCTTTTGCTCAGCTGGATTATTGTTATTTAAAAAAATTTTTTTTTCAATAATAAAAAATGCAAAGCAGAATAAAATACAAGAACAGAAATTAAAAACCCTAAGATCTAACTCTTCAATAAAATATCTTAAATCAGTAACAGAAATTTTAAAAAAACCAACCCAACCCAAATCAAGATTCAACTCTGCTTTAAGGATTTCCATCATCTCTCTTCAGCTTCCCACCCATCCAGTTTTCCAACCCATTTTCTCCTCTTTTTCAAGAGAGAAAATTACAGGAAAAATGAAACAGTTGAGAATATTTGCAGGCCAGCTCCCTGGCCAAAAAAGCCCACGATGGGCTGACAGCTTTTTTCCAAAGTCACATTAAGCTCCATGGAAATCCTAAGACAATTAGATCTGAAAGTAGATAAAGGATTTTAAATGTATGGGTTTTTAAAATCTTTTATCTTTGAAAGATTCAAGTGTGGCTTTTCTATGTTAATATTGTAGCAGCAAACTCCACTGCCACCTTTAAGTTATTTATTTAAGCTAATCTCCTTTGCCTTAAAATAGCTACCCTCCATAAGGTTATTTTCTTCCATCTCTACAAACCGAGATTGTTAAATTAAGCATTGCTAATTAGCTGTTTGATAATTAAATAATATAGCATGAAACTATTGGGGCATAGGATTTGAGCTTTCTGTATGTATTTGTGAATTCTCCTCCTCCCCATAATGCTTTGAAGTCAACTCTGTACTCAGTCCTGCCCTCCAAAGCTGCAAGATAAAGGTTTTCTTCTCCCTTGTGAAAACTTTGAAAACTGCTGTCTGAAAACATAAAAAGAAAGGAAGAAAGAAAGAAAGAAAGAAAGAAAGAAAGAAAGAAAGAAAGAAAGAAAGAAAGAAAGAAAGAGAAAGAAAGCAAGCTTCTCTATTCACAGCGTAGAATGTTCAAAAATGTGGTATTTGATGGATGGAGAATTCTTATTAAAAGCATTAAAGAGCTAGGTTGGATATGGCTTTATCTCCCCTCTATTTTTACTTAATCTAACACTTACTGCAGAGGATGTGATTAGTTTGTACAAGCTGTAGAATTAAGTGGCATAGCTTTTCCTAGGTTGTACCGTTTTATGTGGGGTTGAAAACTATGGCCAGGTACATCAACCAGGAAGATGAAACCTATTTCAGAGGATTACTGGGGGTGGTGAGTCAACATAGAAGCAGCAGGCGGCTATACGTATCAGCTGCACTAAAACGGGCACTCACTAAAAGTGTTAAGGCTCAAATCCCAGGGTGGTAATTGGCTGGAATTCTAGAATTAATGGAGTGCCAGGAATCTTTGAGCTGAGCGGTTTGGGGAATGCTGCTGTAAAGAGAGGAAGCCTTCTTTGAGTTGAATTCAATTCCTAGCTGATTTCATAGATGTGTTCGTGGAGGTTTATCACCAGCAATTTGGAAGTGGTTTCACGCTGACCCCTTCTAAGACCTTTCTTCGACTCCCTGTCCTGGCCTACAGTCCTGGGGTTTCTCATCCAAGTATTAACCAGATCCAACCCTGTGTAGCTTTTCAAGATCAATCAAGGTGAGATTAAAGCAATAACAAAGAGCAAAATTAAGTGGGGAAATATATGCTTTCCCCCCATAATTAATTAACATTTACAGCTGGATTTGCAGAGCATGCCAAGCTATGATTGGTTTATTAATTGTAGGCTTATTCAATAAACAATAAATAACCAACCATGGCTTGGCATGCTCCAATTGGCTAGGCTGGCATAACGTAACATTATTAAGCAATAATTATGAGACTTCCTTCTGAAGAAACATGTATGGGATTATGTGGTAAAAGTCTACACTTTAACTACACCTTTCAGAGAGAGGAAAAAACTGTCTTGGAATAGATATATTTGTCCCTGAACATCACTGGTGTTCCCCACACAATACTCTGAACAATATAAAGGAAAAAGAGATCATGGTGATTTAAAAAGTTCCTTTTTT